CTTGATTTAACAAGCTAGGAACCTGCAAACCATTCTGCCGCGCTCCATCTGCTTCACATCGTAGCATATGAGCACTTGCAATTTCGATCGATAACGCATCAGAAACCTCTGTGATGGTGTTCGTGTGTGCTCGATTACATATTACAATTAGTCATAAAACCATTCACTTTAACGCTATTTGGTTGAGTGATTTTATCTTTTTGAAATTGCTTGACTAGATCCGTTCAGTGGGAAAATCTCATTGCACTCAAATGTAGAACGCAAGCATTAGCCCCGATTGCCATTTACAGCCGTTAATTTAAAACAAGTGGGTTCTTTTCATTCAAAATAACCAAGACAAGGGCAAAAAAAAGCAATTCCTTTTTTAATGAGTCTAAAAGCACTGCCCATTCACGTTGCTTTGGTAACCTACGGGTTTTCCAGTCGAGCAATCCAAATCTGACTGTATATCAGTTGAGATAGTTGTTCGATCAATTCGTATGGCGGTTTTTTTCTTAATTGTGATATGTGAGCCGAGTGGAGCAAGTGACCACTAATTGGTCTTTGCGTGCTTATCATTTTTACCACCGAACGGGAAGGTCTAATGAGGTGCACCAATTTTCCACTCTTTTATCCCCTTCCGATCCTCATTCCACTCCAAACTTGTTCATTTTCTATTCAACATGGGCGTGTGCCTATGCCAAATCGGGTTTACATAAATGGTAGATAACAAACCAACTGGTCGGAGAAGCACACAGTCATGAACGACAACAAGAAGAATAAAAACAACAACCATCATTTGGTTATAAGCACTAGTCCAACAATGGTTACTCTTGTGCGTGTGCAGAGGCTGTATTTAAGAGTAATTGTCGTGCACCGGTTGATTGTGATGTCATTCTACTCTATTTCGTCTCTCACCCAAGCGAGCTGTTGATAAGATATACTGGACGACTCACTCATATAGTCCTCTTATCCATTCAAGGCGTGTTTTTCGTCGCCAACATGTTTTGAGCAATCGTCTTCTATAGACTGAGGTGAACTATAGCCACCATGAATCTCACAACGATGTGGGCGATTTGTTGTTCTGAGTGAGAATTCCCTCGGTATTTATTGGGATTATTTTCGTCACGCAGATCCACATGCACCGGGAAGTGTGTTGCCAAACTTATAAAAAATCTTGGAGTAGCTTGAAACCCACCGATCAAAAGAGGATGACTCGACGGCCCTGGCTAAGTAGGATGTGGCATCAGTGGGAAGAAACACAAGTAATAATACGCTAGTTTCTCGAACAACCACGAGTACCAAGTTAATGATCTGTTGAATGCGGTAATATTATTTAGTTATTGTTCCACTTCATTGCCTTGTTCCAATGGCACGCCATTTCACCTAGTTTCATTACAACCTCTGACATTGTATAACAATCTCAACAGCAAGCTTGATACCACCGTTTATCGACTGCCTGATAGATCGAGAGTAAAACCGTTCATTGTGAACGATACATTGAAATTACTATAGAAACTTTGGTCAAGTATCAGCTTCCATGTGGTTTCTCGAGCATTTCGAATTGAAGTAGATGAATAATCTGAAGTACAATCTCCTGTACCGATCACGTTACGTCCTTCCATTGTATTTTGGAAAAGAACAAAGCCAGTGTTCATTCTCAAATCTTTAAGGTCATTCCGATTTTGTTTGCGTTGTTAGCTAATATGCTATTAATGTTGGCATAAACTTAAACTTTGGTTCATCAATCTAGTAGTTCTTTGAAGAACAGACATATACATACATCGTGTTTCACAGAGGAGAACTTACAAGGGTGGTGGCGAATTGATAAATCGGAGTTATATGCAAGATTTTCCGTCTCTAACACTGCAATTTAGCTTTCTTAAATTTAATTATTGATACAAGACATCCATTTTTAGCTGCATTGATTCAGTACAGTTATCAATAATGGCATAGCCATGTTATTCTCCTAGTGGCCATACACACCCGGTGTGAAACACTACATCTGAGATAAATTAGGACATACGAAAAATGCAATTTTATCAAAATGTTGTCTACCCTTGTCTTAGTAGTTTCACTGGAAAACCGAGCAGATTACCATCCTTTTCGGACTGCATTCAGTAGACACATGAGTTGACAGACTAATAAGTACAAGTTCCCACTTTCACTGACGTCTATATTTGTATGATTTTAGTGCATTATTCAGGATTTCCAGTAAACAAGTTTATACGCATTTTACTAATTCCACCTTGCAATTCGTCGGTCCATGAATTTGGTGTACCCAACATACTGGTTGTACTATTATTAATGGTATTAGAAAAAGCAATAGCACCAGTGTGTATTGCTCCCTGGGAAAACGACAAAGAATGTTCTGGGGATAGAACATTATTCATTCTGTGGATAGTGGAATAGAAGAACGAGAAGACCACTGAAAGACCATATTGGAACTGTTTGTAACCCCCTCTTATGCTCAAACATGACTGCGGAATCACATTTGTTGCACCGTGTACTCTTTGGCTTATTTATACATATCCGAACGGAGTAAAATGAATTCCACAATAAACTTGAAGACACATGAAAATATAGATCGAGCCGGGAGTGAAGTATAATATCAGATTGTAGTTCAAAGCACTCAATCCATTGGATCATGCATTATCAAAAGGTTTGGCAGAAGCTGATAAATATCTGGCTTGAAATTGGTTGAAATAAAACAGAGACATAATCAAATAAACGGAAAATCCGCATAAGAAATACAAAAACAGAACTCTGCCGATAAACACAATAGAGCTCACTTTTGTATTCCAACGATTGGTTTGGAAACAAAAATCTTGATTTCTAACAGTGCAGCATTAAGGATGGAGTGAGCAAGTAGCAGCTGCCGCAACAACAACAATAACGGCCACAGCATCAACAATAGCAATGACAGTAACAGTAACAGTAATAATTTTACATAAACAGACGTGAGAGGAAAATATCTGTAAACTAATATTGCTTGCTAATCTTAATTCGCTGGCTGCAAAGAAACATTTTTGCCACTTGTGTGAAAATCATAACTGTGCCACAGTTATTCTGAAAACCACACAAAAATCTAATCAGTTGTCTTTAGTTCTGTGTGATCCATTTTAGTACTTATGAACATGCGTTCTCATTAGAACAATTCACTAACGCATGAGAAAAATAGTGAGCTTCGTGTGAAGAAGATTATTTCAAATTAGGGAGGGCTTGAAGCATTATTTTTCGGTTTTATTACCCAGCATACTGTTTATTCTAAAGGATTTTAAATAAAAATGCATCAGTATGAAAAGTAAATCAAAGGGAAACAAACCGTTAGATCTATTTAGTCCCTCGTGAAGGAGTGAAAAATAATTAGTTTGTTCTTTATGTTAGACACGTGGTTGACACGTGGTCAACTGTGAGATTTTATTCTTGCCAAAAAGTGGTCAAATCTTGAGAGTTGACTGTGGCCTTCTTTCAATATAAAAATGTCTGTCTTGTTTTAATAATTAATCTACTTACTACTCTAGTATTCACTTTTCTATTGCTAATTTAGCACTAATCATCCGACCTATTTGGAACCCAATAAACCTGGATTTGGCTGCGGATTATATTCTGACCTGGATACTAATCGCTCAAACGGGATCTTTTGAATTGCTCGATGGAAGAGTCTCACATATCCACGTATCTTCCGTACATACGACTTCGATATTGAGCGATCGACGACCTCAGTCTTGGCCGTCGGTCAGTGATGCGGAAGCTAACCTGAAAACGTTTAAACCGGCTCATCGAGAATACGAAGATATTTTGGACGAAGGACCAGTGTCGGAAAAGCAATTAAGCTTTGGTCGTGGCCGTATAAATAAAAGCAGTAACTCTTTTGAGAAAAAGGCACTCAAAGATCAAACAGTAGGATTTTTGCAATGGAGTAAGTGTTTTTAGTTACAGGCGGCAAATTTTCTTAGAATCGAGAAAATTCCCTGTATGTAAACCCCGTATTGTAGAATAAAGAAGACATCTATGTGTACTACTTTGAGCTAGTACAACCGTGGGAACCAGTTCAACTTAATTAATAATTAAAGTCCATATTGTCCGTATTAATGTCCTCAGAGGCGATCACATGGTTTCCATTCACTCTATGGTTTGATCAGTGGTCCACAAATGCTTATTGACAGGGCCCCGGTGAACACAAAACCTGGTATAGAATTGGCATTAACGAGACAATTGTTTGACTTTTCCGAGTTTGCATAGTAGTCGAGGTAGGTAAGAATTACGGATCACGAAATACGGTCGCAACTGAAGCACAGAATCGCACTAGCAATCGTTCGCTGGAATCTCCCGTTACCGAGACACAAAAGAAAGGTCACAGAAGTAGCGGTTGGTTTCTTGAAAAAAACCACTGAGAATAAATAACATGTACAAAGGAATTTTATTGGTTGTACAGGTCCTCACCAATGACCTGCTCGTATTCTTGACTTCATACAGTTTCTATCTGGACAGCACGACTTCTGATTGGTCGGCACGATTGGCCTGTAGTTCGTTGTCCAGAAACTGTAACGCATCGCTCAGTGGCTGGCGTGATCCTGTAGGCTAGAACCACCAGTTTGTTTGTATAGAACCCACTGAGATGAAAAATACTCTATTTTCCTAGTTGTTTAGAATGGGCTATTTTCACGAAACAGTACAGTGATCGCAATGGGACATCGGGTGTATCCGAGCTCCATTATTGATGTCTATCAATGTGTCATGAACCGTAATCGATCGATGAATTTTCGTTGAAGACTGAGAATTTGAAGGTACGAGATCCTCAATGTTTTGTTTTATTGACTTTTTGTAAACAAAATTCTAAGACGCTTATCATATACAAGTAGGTTTACTAACCACAAGGTTAAACCCGGTTTTTGGGTGTAGATGAGTCTGTTTGATTCCGCGTAAGAACAGAACGAGGAATTTGTTGATTGAATCGCTCCTGCCTCGTCACACTTGGTTACCATTCAACTATTGATGAGCTGTCTTCACCGCAACACGTCACCTATGGTTGAAGCTATCCAGAGTCATCTGAAACTGTTCTGCTCACCAAGTATTTCTACCTTTTCAATGAATTCACCGGGTATCTACAACAATGATCAACTCTTTCGCACTTGGATTGTTTGTAAAATCCCATCGTATTACACAGAAGGCGATAATCGAACAGTTCACCGAGACAGATCAATTCTCCTGTTGGAGGTTGATGACTTTTTTCATAACACCCACTTGGTTGCAAGGCTTCAGAAGCAATGAAACCATCAAGGATTTTGGTATGCTACGAATTTTCAAACGTCAGATTTTGGTGAATTTCTCGATTATTAGATCTCCATCATCCGTAATAGGATATCTGGTTTATGGAAAGTGTTTGAAAATGAAACGGGTAAATTGAGTATAAAGTGGCATTTGTTTCACGTCTCACTTCATTTACATTATTTCATTCTTTTTGAATTCCCCTTTACCCCTTTACCCCCTATGGCGTCCACGTTTCAGATCCTCTAACACTGGCAGTGGCAAGGAGGCTTCACACATTTGGTTGTTTATTACTGGTCGCGGATGATCAATTACCAGCAGGATCAGATCACGTGTTCGGTGTTAAACGAGTCGCAGACCAAGTGCGACTGGCTACTCAGTCAGATTTCTTGTTGATCATAGATGAACCCATTCGCTTAGATAAAAATGTGCCAACCAATTGGTCCGAGGCCTGTATAACCACTGAGTTGCTGAATCACACAAAACGAGGTAGGTGGCCTTGTACTGTCAACTATTTACGTGCCTTAAACTATGCAATCAATCCTCAGGATTCTATGAAAATGTTTTCATGGGAGAGGAAAAGGAATGACGAATTTTGTGTTTACCATGCAGAAAACCGCTTAAGATAATGACAGCAATTAGAAAATTCTTAGTCTGGAACAGAAGCCTAAAAGACCGAAAACAACTTGTTCGAATTAATCAGTTACGGCCCGATTGTCGAGTTATTGGAAGGTCACTCCGGATGTGATTGGACACGTTTAGAAGTTATTTCCTATTCGAAGTGCTGGCCTTTGTTTAGCCAGCGATTCCCCCCCCCTACGGATTAAATAGCATGTGATCTAGGGCGGGACTTGATTAATCGCTGTGATGAAACCTCGGTGGTTCTACCGATGCAATAATTGAAATGAAATCAGATTTTTGCTGGTATACAAGCGAATTTTCGTGAACAATCCATCGGTTTTTGTTCCAGGAGTGAGAAGTGGTTGCAGATTTTCACTAAAATTGTTCAAAGTGAAAACGGCAATTATTGATGAATTTTTGCATGATTAAGATGTTGGGCAAAGTCGTGTGGAGTTATCAATGTGAAATTCAACAGCAGTTCACTTCTTATTGCATATAGTTTTATTGTCTGTGTTCATAGGTTTCCTCGGTTCAAAGTTCCCCAATTTGTGGACCGCTGAGTTGTTCAAGCAGTGTGCGGTGTTTTCGATCAATCATGTCTCCTTTTTCTGATTTTTTTTAAAGAATCTCGGGTAGAAAATGGATACATGGGTAGTAATACGGGTTAGGAAAACAATTTTTGTCCTGTTTATTTCTGAAGTATCTCACGGACAACAATTCTATTTAATCCGCGTTTGAAGTGATATTTCGGTTGAGGACTTCCAATGGATGCTTCTATCCTATGAAGGTGTTCGGTCGCAGTCAACACGTCTGCCAGTGATTCCCGTATCTTTCTGTCCCCACGGATCCCTTAAATGTCTGTCAGTGAAATCCGACTTATTCGCTCTGAGTGACATATCTTATCAGTGCAATAGCAGTATTGTTTTGCTGTCATCTATGCGTTTACTTATCCCGAGTCCATGCGTGCGTCCGCGCGCGCACAAACACGCGTGCGATTGGATCGGAGACGCGCGAGTGATATGTTCGGTTCGTGGTCGGGATACACGGGGGCGTACTCATCACCAACACCGTACCACCGTTAGGCGACTCGCATCACGAGCTCTCTGTCAAGCGACCAATTTCAAGTGGGACGAATCAGCTCAATCAGGCGAGCGGAGGCATGGATGAGGTCGACGCGTGCGGACATGCGCGATTTTGAGTGATTGAATTTGCCAGTCGTTTGTGGACTGCGTGCATTTTGGACCCGGATATCTGAAAAACATGGTGGTGGTGGTGTAGTGGGAGGGCGTCTCAGAAGCATGCAACACAAACGGTTCTACCGATGTTTCTAATGGGAGAAAATGCAGTTTGACAAACACTAGTTCATAAGCCATCATGCCTGCTGCGATGTCTGGTTGCCATGTGGCTCGTCTATTGCACTGAGAATGACAGTGAATAAACGGCGTCATTTTGCGTTTGCCCAAAGGACAATTTCGTTACTCCCCGTGGTCCTGAGAACATGCAAGCGAATACTTAGCTTGTCACTGTTTGCTGGATACTCTGAAGCACCTGTTGGTGAAGATGAATGGGATTTATGAGGATAATAACACACCAATATCAACATACAGAGCGGTCCTTCAAATCCAGGGCTGTTTCTGTGTGCTCAGTTAAAACTGATCATTGAGATTTCTGTCCGACCCCTCAACAGTATGCTCTGCGCTGTAGAACAGGAGAATGGCCTAAGGCTGTGTTCTGTGATATCTCTCAAAATCGGATTATTATGCCATGGCGGAGAGAAGAATGCTTGCATTGAGATGACGTTGCAATATTTTTGACAGAATTGTAATGACTAGAGCTGGAATTATTTGCCGTTTCTCCGTCGATTTCTCGCCACACACTGGCGTGTATTGATCTAATTCTTTGAGATAAGAACATAAAACATACTCATGCAGCATTTGTGGAATATCTTTTTTGTTGTATCCGTGATTGAATGAAACAGCTATGCAGAAAGTGTCTTGCATCTAACGAAGTGTTCAATCAGTAATTACTATTTGATTGGTCTTATTATCTTAATGTGCCGCACACCCCTAAATAGTCTGGGAAACCCTATACGGTCAAATTAACAGCAATGCATATACACTGAGCTTTCAACAATTAAAACTTAGCTGTAGGTTTCACACTCTAGTGCTATTTTTATCCAACTAACTTCAGCAGTTTGGTTCCACATTAATTAATGTAGCATCGATGTAAATCTACCATTGGCCTTAGTTACGGTTATATAGACATAGGTAAAATACTTGATGCACCTCATTCACGATAACTGGTGAAGTGATGTCGAACAACTGAAAATGTTGCTTGGCCTGGTTAAATAACAAGTATCTTGATGGAAATGCAATGAAGACTCATAATCCTGCATGTATGCGTGTGGGTCATCCTAAACTGGATGAATGTGCATTACTGAAGACTTCTAACAGGACCTTAAAACAACAGTGTCTTAAAGACTTTTCAATGCTTTCCATTGGCATTGTTAAACGAATCTGTTGATTACTATTTAATTCATTTCTATTCACATACACAACCAAAGAATTTTACTTTATATGAAGGAGAGTTAACTGTATAATGCATTCCCCGGAAAGCGAGGTCCTGCCTAGAAGACACCCACCAAATTAAACAAAGTGGTGGAGCTATGCCGTAGAGCTGTGGGGGAATTTTAACGCGTTACCCAACAGTCATGATGCTAGCTAACACTACCTGATTATCATGCCTCGATTATGTTTATTTAAAAATATTTTCGCACACTCCTTTCTTGATTTCAGGTTCACGATTACTCTACTTTGGAACATCAGATCACTCACCAAAACATGACATCCTATTGCACGGTGTCCAGTCAAAAATGATCACACAGTTGATTCTAACCGCTGGATTAAAGCAACCAGTCGATACAGGTAAGTTGTTTATTTTCTTCTCTATATTGCGGTGTTTTCCAAATGTGATCGTATTTATATAAAGATAACTCGATTGTTTATCCCATAGTGCGCATTGTTTCATTCAGATTCGGGAATGTTAGACAGAAATCGTAACCAAATAGATTTATTACGATGCATTGTTTCACCGTTTCTGGACTACTTCGTTTCTTTCTGGGACTCGTTCAGACAGCTCCGTAGTGTACAGCTTAGGGAAATTGAGGAAAAACATCACAGTAACATTCAAATGGGTTGAGTAGTAGGATCAGCAGTTCCGCAGTACCAATGGTTGCTCTAGTGGATCGAGGTGATTTTATGCAGGTATATATGTTTCGTCGGGTATGTTATACTCTGTCTATTACGTTAAGAGATGAACCTGGGATGATATGTTTAAATGCAGCTTTAGATTCTATTATCCCATTCGCGCTTGCCACCTGGTTGCGTATAGAACACATTCCTCTCAGTCCTTTCGTTTCTTCTGCCTCGAGCTTTACGGTAATTTTACATGGTAGCCAATGGATTGGGAAAACTCAGCTGGGTGTTAAAACCAAGTTGCGTACACATTTATGATATCTTCTTTCAGATCATTTAAGAAATGTGACTGGCTAGTGTAAACAACTGACTTCAGTCAGTTCCACAAGAAAAGATCAAATAGGGTCACACCTGGAGTTATGATCGGTGAAAGCACAGGTCCTGCTCTGTCAGCCCATTTTTGTGAAAAGGTTTTGTTATGCCAAGTTCTCACAGCCTTCACATAATAGGAAACTGAACCTTTCTGCTCGAAACAAGTCCTCTGTCTTTGCTCTGGATGCAACTATTGAATACACTTGGTTACCAATGTAAAAAGCAACGGCAAAATGGCCGTTCCGATTATTGCTTATTCAAAGAAGTATGGACCCAGCAACGTCTTGTTATGCGTCCCAAAAGAACCAAGAATTTGGGGATTGAGTTTTTCTGTTAATCCCTTCATTAAGATGGCCTCATCAGCTCAACAAACGATGATTGTGTTAGCAAGGTATGCTTTTGGATCTAGTCTGAATGAACTTTATGCACCCATGCATCCATCTTCCCCATTTCTGTATTTTCCTAAACAGTATTGTTACGGTCGCGGACTCCTTCCTAAAAGTTGGCTGTACATTTGAATGCTCGATAAAGAAAAGAAAAAGAAAGAACTATTTCGAGGGAAATTAGGGTTTGATTGCGACCTTCCTCCCTGTTAAGATAACCGATTACGAAATAGCGCATACACAAAAGAGGCCGGCAACCCAACTAGGGAATTCGTAATAGGTTGCGATATTTTGTATCTCGTAAGTATGTTCAGTGGAAAAGCTATTTGTAGCTGAGGCTTACGAACCGATAGCGTTTGTACCTACATGGTTATAACCGAGAAATATTTATTCCCACTCTTAATACACGGGATTGGGTGAATGTGCTCACGACCACAGAACTTTCTATCTAATAAAGCAGACGAGAACTCCCCTAAAGGAAAACTTTTCCCTGTTGATGGTTTTAGCCTTATTATGTGCAATATTTTTCACAATTCGGGTAAAATGTATGTACTAATAATGTGATTTTTTCATCCAAGTTGCTAAACACCCAACCGAAGATTGTTTGTACCCACCAAGGTACATGTGGTCCAAGGTTGTGTCCGAAATCGTTTCCTTCGATCGAGGAAGAAAAGCACAAAACCGTGCTTATGGAATTTTTTCATGTGAGATTTTCGCTAGTTTGGTAATTATAAAAATTAGTTGATTGCCTATTCATCATAGTTTAGGGTCAGTCACACACGATTATAATGACAGAAGTCCGCAGTTCGAATCCCGGATCAACCGGGGGAAGATTTACTGTCGACCAAGAGCAAACTCCCGTACCAGGTTTACCGAGAGTATATATTTTGGACTGGATGAATTGCGGATTATGCTTGAAGATAAAATTTGCAGGATAGTCAATCAAAATCAACTTCATTTGTTCTACACCACTACCCACAAGAAACTTTGAGGCATACGTATAAAACATTTATACTTAAACATTTGACCTTTATTGAATGACACTTAAATCCGGCGTGTGTTCGTGTTGCACCTTTTAAATATCTATGCTCTTTGGAATTTCCTCTCTTGAGCAAAGCTGGCATACTTCTGTTTACAAAATTCTACTCGCTCTAACCGTAATACAATTCCACGATGAAAACCATTTCGTTCGCACTCCATGTGTGTTATATCTATCACCTTCTCATTCTGACAGAATTAACCATTAACTCCAAAGTGATCTTTTTGGGTGAATCGTTGGCCGATTTTCGCCTATCTGAGAATGGATTCCGTGAACACATTGCAAAGTTTATACGCTGTCACTGGGCCAAACAAGTGCAATCGCACTCAGCTCATGCGCTAGCAGCCTCACATTGTCCGAATAATATCAATAATCAGACACACACAATCAGTGTTGGACTATTTCCAAATAGCAATACGCTTCGGACACGGACTAATTCACTGACCAAGATCACGGAATCGGATAAATCTGTAACCTGCTGTTTTGACGTGCAGTCTGAAATGTTTAATCCAATAGAACCTGAAAAAATGGAGAGAAACATCCCCGAATGGGATGTTCTCGATTGCCAGAAGCCCCATTTCAGTGAGTTTTGCTCGTTCTAACTGTTTGACATTGATATATATCACATATGTACCAAATGACAATAAAATCCCTCAAAACCAAGTGCAGTGAGAAAAGGAGTTAAAAATAAAGCCGCTTCCAAAACAGCCCATTGCAATGGCAATAGAAATCATCATAGATATCTTCTGCCAAATTCCTGTATCCGTTAATTACCCGTTAAGAGCAGAACATTGTCAGACCCGGTCCTATGAAAAGCGGGTCTCAAATGCAGCCAATAGGGCTCTGAACACACGCGCACGTAGATAAGGTACAATTACAGGCGAGCTGGACCGAGGGACACGTTACACTTCGTAGTCGTACGATGACACAGTGGGTTTGGTATCCCTACAGAAACGGATGGCTTCTTTTACTATTTTAATTAAGAAAAAACTGATGGGTTAGTTTATTAAAATTAACCTGCTAGCGGCCATAACTTATTGTAGAAATGCTGAGAGGGCGTCTCATGGCTAAACAATAATGAGGAGCGCATAAAAAATTTCTTTTTTCCTTACTCGTCTACTCTGATTACACACAAACATATATGAATAGTCGGTCCATCGGTAACGCGAATTACATGTGGGGAATAGTTAAGTGTTTGGTTGCCCCGGGAATACCACCGGTTCTGCAAAAACTAAACTTCACTGTGTTAATGGATATCATATCATGAAAAATTGGTGCCTGTGTGTGATTTTTTTAGATTCACACTCAGGAGTGAACA